CCCCAAAACCCCAAAACCCCAAAACCCCAAAACCCCAAAACCCCTGGGAGAATTTTGGAAATTGAAGATTTTTTGAGGGTTTGAGGAGTTATTCTGTGAGCTCGTAATCTTGGTATTTAAGAGTGGTTTTGGGTTTCTTAGGAATGTCGAATAGGTAGTGAGGGGTAAGGAAATCGGTGTTTTTGAGTTGGGCTACTACTTCAAACCTGTTAGCAATGTCTTGCTTTTTGTATACTTTGGCATAATCTGAGTTCTCCATGAATTCCTTAGCGCAGTATAGGAAATTAAGTAGCTTGTTTCTTTCCTTTATAAGATTCTGGACTCTAATAATGTTTACTTTAATCTACTTACATGCTTTTGATTTGTTTCTTAAAGTTACTAAAAGCTTTCTTATTCTTCTCCATAAAATCAATAACTCCATCGCTAACACCTGTATTAGAATAAACTTCTTTGGGGGCTATCTCTTCTCCTATCTTTTTAGTATACTTAATCTGTCTCTTCTTCGCTCTCTTCTTCGTAACCCATTGGGTAACAGACATCTCCTTTACTGATGAAAAGTAGCACTTAGATTCAATACTTGTTATATTGTCAAGGATATCTATGGGTAAAGCTAAGCCTTACTCTTGAAACAGGTCTTAAGATAATCTATTCTAAAGGGAAATGGTTAATTGACTTATTACCTGTCATCACTATAGATTAGTTACAGAAATACCTCCAATCACTTGTGTGTTCAGTCACTTGCTCGAATGTTGAAAATCGTACTTCATCAGGATTAGATTGAAATTTCTTTGCCAGCTGATTGTATAAATAATCCTCATATTCATGAAGTGGGTGGTCAAACTCCTTTTTTGGAACTTTTATTCCTTTATTCTTTAATTGATTCGTCAACTCTTTGACTTGCTCCTTTAATCAGGAATTTTCCTCCCTTAATGACTTAGCCTCTCTTTCTAAGATCTCTACCTGATTAAGTTTGTCTTCAAGAAATTTCTTTTTTCTCTTTCTAAAATCTTTACTTCTTTCAACGTTCGATCTTGGGAATTTTCTTCTGGAAGCTCTCTGTGGCTTATTCTCAGTTTCCTCCATTATTAAGAAGTAAATAATATTATTTTAAGGATGATTTGTGTTTGGGGTTTTGGGGTTTTGGGGTTTTGGGGTTTTGGGGTTTTGGGGTTTTGGGGTTTTGGGG